CATTTAGCAAGTCACCTCCTCTCTCTACTTCAGTTTCATCTGTGAAACTGGGGTAATAGCAATTAGTTCCCTGCCTCACTGTGAGGATTAGGAGCTCTGTACATGGCTGTCAAAACACTCCATAAACTTACTAAAGCAGTAGTTCATTAAGATGATTTTCTACAAACTAGACAAAAGACAAACTCTGTAGTAGTGACAGGTAGTGTGACAGGTTTAACACCTGGAAGGGAGATGCTGTCTCCACAGAGGCCAGGGCTGTAGTCCTTGGTCTGCCAAAGCTCTTACTGGTTTCAGTGGGAGTTTTGCCTGAGTACAGACCGCTGTGTTGGGCCCACAGTGTTCTATGTAAATTCAGTTAGGGGACATCTTTTCTCCTCTGGACAAGGTGTTGTCTACACCTTGCCTCCTTTTTGTTTTCGCTCCCTTTCTTCCCAGTTCCAGGTGCACAAGGGACGAGAGGGGTTTAAGGACCATACTCTTGGTAAAGAGCAGAGATGCTTTCCATTGTGAGCAATGGTAGGCATTCAACAAAAGGAGTTAGAAGAGACAGCCTGAGATCCCCCTGCATTGGTCTCTGGAGTTGGCTTGGAATTGCAAGAAGCATCTGCTATCCTCTCCCAGGGGTTGGCACAGTTGTCACTCCAGCATGTTTCCTTCCGGAGTTCTGAAGACTTCTGGCTGAGTCAACCAGAATTTCTCCTGGGGCTCATGCTGCTGCTTGGATCGAATGCAAGACATAAATTAAAGCTACAGTCAGCTCTTCCATCTTGGCGAGAGACCGTTGTGTATCAAGCTACTGCCATGTCACTAGAGCATGGAGTGATAGTTCATAGGCAAACATACTATGACAGAGGAAGGGACATAGTACTACTGGGTCATTTCACTTTAAGGCAGAACTGGAAGAAGTTTATCTGGAACCAATGCTCTCAAAACTGAGTCATCTTACACAGTGTTTCACATCGCAGTTTGCAGCAAGCCACACACCTATTTCTTCCCTGCAAATTATTTCTTTTAGTTCCATAAAAGCCCAACCTACAGCATTGTCCACCAAGGCACTGAATGAGGAGCCATCAAATAGTATTGATGTCCTACCTAACAGGACAAGAAAGTGAATGTGTAAATTCTGGGGATGATTTTTCTCAGCAGTTCCCTAAGCTGACCCCATCCATCACTGCAGAACCTTATTCTTGGAAAGTGACGATATCAAGCTGCACTGCAGTACTGCTTGCCATCAACAACACTCTACAGATGGCATAAGCTTTCTACGTTGGTGAGGGACCTTGTCAAAGGCTTTCTGGAAATCTAAGTACACTATATCTACTGGATCCCCCTTGTCCACATGTTTGTTGACCCCTTCAAAGAACTCTAAGGGTATGTCTACACTACCCCGCTAGTTCGAACTAGCGGGGTAATGTAGGCATACCGCACTTGCTAATGAAGCCCGGGATTTGAATTTCCCGGGCTTCATTAGCATAAGCGGGGAGCCGCCATTTTTAAATCCCCGCTGCTTCGAACCCCGTGTAGCGCGGCTACACGGGGCTCGAACTAGGTAGTTCGGACTAGGTTCCTATTCTGAACTACCGTTACTCCTCGTGAAACGAGGTGTACCGGTAGTTCGGAATAGGCACCCTGATTTTCAAAAGCATAGTCCTGTGGCTCACACATTTCAAATCTGCATAAGACTAGTTTTATTTCGCAGGAGATATGATCATTTGAGATCTGTTCCCTATTCCTTGGAGTTAGCACAGAAATACAATTTAATTCAATTAGTAAACTCTGCAGAATCTCATAAACCAAAGGTTCAGTGAAGAATTAAACACATGTACTTTAAACTCATGCATTTGCTACTACCTGGAATGTATTCATTTTAGTTCATGGCACTTTTAACCTCGGGTTGAACAGGGAGAGAAATGCCTGCAGTCTTCCAAGCTGCCCACAACCAAAGCTTTATCCCCAGTGATACCAAAGCGAGCTGCTACTCACAGTAGATGGTGCAGCTCTTCATACTACGATAAGGGTTCTCTTCTTTAAACCATGTTTGTCCCTAGCCTGCGCTTGTCTTGGTGCAACCTCATGCCACAGCACAAGTAAGAGCAGCTTCAGGGTACATGAGGGGCTCACTCACTCTCTGCAGCAGCCTTCCCTCTCACCCTGGACCCACAGGGACCCTTCTACTGGTCCTGGGATCCTCCCAGAGAATGTTGGGGGAAGACATAGGTGGGCCAGGAGCAAGACTAGAGGATACATCCCTTCCTCCTCCTTCCAAGTGCAAGGATCTTACTCAGAAAGGGTAAACTCCAAATCCTCTTTTCTGCAGAGCACCAACTCACACTCCAGTAGCCTCCAGGGCAGCAATGGCCAGGGGAAGTCCCTGCTCAAAGGGCAGCCTCAAGGGAGTTGTGTTCCAAGGTAGGTAAGGGGGAAAGGGGGCTGCTGGTGGCTAGAGCCAGTGCGGAGAAACAAGGTTTCTGAGCAGGTTGCCATGGCCCTCTTCTGATCTCATAGTGTTCAGTGACTGTCCTCCAGGCACTTTTCAGTGGGTGGGAGGGGGGGAACTCTATCTCCTCCTCTCCCACAGATTGATGTGGAGAAATTTTCTGGATGAATCCTGGCAAAGATTACTTACCCGGGCCCTTCCTGTGGAATTCACTGATGCGAGCCACTGCATTTACACCCGTTATGAACTACAATAAGGGTGAAAGCTGCTCGTTAAGTAACTACTATCCACACAGGACTTACCTGGAGTATTAAAACCAACCATTCTGTTACAAAAGCTTTGCCCCTGGATTAGTAATGCCTTGTCATATTCAATCCTGCCAGAGCTCCTTGTCACTAATCACATTTCTGCAGTGGCAGGACATGAAAATCTCATTAATGCCGCTCGTTCTCCTCAGCATTACCATAATAAATATTGGTCATGCCCCTTACAAGTCAGGACGCACAGTGGTTTCCCGTACAACCCAGTGCTTTTTCTGTGCTTGGCTGCTAGCCAAAAGGCTTTCAGCCGTTCTTGAGTTATGGGCAAGAATATAAAAGCAATAATTGTCTGGCTGAAAATAATGGTAACCACATTGTCTTGAATTCGACTACAGCAAAAAAGGAGATGCCTACTGGTCAGTCCAGGAACTAGCTCTTCAGCCCCAGAGCACCCTCTCCTGGACAGTGTCTCACCAGCTGTTATTCGCCTTTTCCTAGTTCTCCCCCAGATCACATCAGGCCCCACATCCATCCCATGCTGTGCTGCCCCTTCTCCTGAATACTGTCCTGAGGCCATGCCCAAACTCTGGGGTCCTTCCTTCCCAAGCATCCCAATCACCTATGAGCCACCATTTGCCTCAGTGAACCACTGCCATTTGTCTTCTGGCCCCTTCCCTCAGGAGCAAACCGCAGTCTGAATTGGCCATTTTGTCATTGGTATGGGGGTTTGGTCCTGCTGCCTATTTCTGCCTCGGTTGCCTCCCTTCAGACCTAGTAGCTCCCTGAGCCCTAGTGGCTGGGCCTGAGACTGGGGTTTGTTCAGGTCCAAGTTCCCCTGGTTCACCCTGCCTTTCCCTGGCATGTCTCTGTCCAAGGTACCCAGAGTTGGTGTGAGAGTGAGCTCCTCCTGTCCTGGAGTCTTTCTTATAGGGCCCAGCTTCCAGCCCCAGCCCTCTGCCAGTGCTTTTTTAACTCCTTAGATACCAGTGCAGGACAACCACCCCATTACATGTGGTTATCATTTTTGTTAAGTGTTAAGGACCTACACCTGCAAATCCTTGCTTACTCATTGGGCCCAGTCCTGTTGAAGTCAGTGCAACTACTTGCACAAGAACTGATTTTTAGGATCAGTCAGCATGGCCCTAAGCTTAAAAAGACAAAAGTTGCAAGCAACTGAGGTATCCTTTTCTAGCATAGTGACATAATCCACTGTGCGCTCCAAAAGCATCTCTGAGTTTTAGCAATGCCTAATGAAGCCTCACCCATATGTGACATGGAAGTAGCTTCCCTCCATCTCACCAGAATGGACCAGAGGCTGCAGCTGCTGTTTGTGTGTGGATGAGACTTTACGGTCTATGGATTAATAAAATGCATTAGAATTCGGGCATTGCCAGAGATATCAACAATACTTAAATGTTGCTACCTAAGTCAAGTATACAGTCCTGCTTGGGGCTAGCCTGTGTCTTTAGGCACATCCTGAAGAAAGGGAGTTATGTAAGCTGTACCATCCCAGAGTACTGTGACTCAGGGACACATCTGTATGTCTCAGTTTCTCCTTGCTCTCCAGGTAGTTATTTAAAACTCATTGTTGCAGTTAATTACTAGCCACCCCAACCTTCTGGCTTTGTCTGTTCTCATCTTATTTTCCACATACCAGCTTTGGGAAAAGAGCAAACAGGCAAGTCCTTCATTCACTCCTACACGCCTGCACCCAAGGCCTGAAAATTGCCAGTAAGGATGTTAAGGAGAATTCATATTCTAGTGCATATTCCACTGCATGACTATGTAGCCTGAGTCACAACTGAGTCTCCAGATCTGAAATAGGTTTTACTTCAGATGTCTGTTTCCTCTTCCCTCCTACCATGATGGTGTATGTATGAAGGATGAAAATCACTGCCGAGCAGAGGGCCAGCACCATGGCCTGTGCATTACTTCAGTTTCACCATTCATGGCTGGTTTAGCCAGGGTGAAATGTTCTCAGTGTACACCACTTACATTTTACTGATGAAATGGTACTTAAGTGTTGTATGCTGGCTCTCCGCACTGAGAACATTTCACCCTGAATAAAACTCTTCTTGAATATTTTTCAACCGGTTCTAACTTCAAAGCGTGGCTGAGACGAAGAGTTTAAAATAAACATCCAGTGAAAATAAACATGCGGTTAAAAGCCATGGCACTGTGTTAATATTGCAACACAGAATTTCCAGGGAAGGAGGCCAGCTTGTGCCTTATGCCAGTCAAATCCCAGCTAACACCATTGACTAATAACAGCAGTAAAACAATTGCTTGGTTTCCCTTTGCAGGTCCAGGGTGCTCTAAAAAGACAGTGGATGCAGTATAAGACCCAGTGGGGGCAAAGACGACGAGAGCACTGCTCTACGCGATCTACCTCCTATACAGCAACATCTATCACTGAGGTCCCAGTTTATCTGTATCATCACGATTCCGCCAATGAACAGCTAAATGGGAAATACATAGATGACTCCGAACTTGTGGCATTAAAATCTGGAGAGACGTCTGCCTAGCTCAGAGGAAAACGAGACAAACAGGTCATTTCGCACTCTGTTCATGAGAGGGTGGGGTGAAGGGAAGAAGTGCTACTGTGAGAGAATGCTAACCCAGATGACAGGACACATCGTATGCAAACGGCAGAAGCATCAGCTTCAGCCAGTGATGGCCCAGCGAGAGTCTGCCTGACAGAGGTGGCTATAGCATTTGATAGTACTACAGCATGCTGCTTTTAGAAACATAACTGAGAATGGAACTAGTGAGACATTTGGATTTACCACAGTTCCTGCTACTGGCCATATGACCCATGGATTCAACAGTCATTACAATGTAAGGTATCCCGTGGCAGATATAGAATGGATTGGTTCATTGAGAGGGGTATTCAGTTTCCAGACTGAACAAACTACATGACAGATTGGAATTGTTCAGGATTTGTTGCTTTACATGCCTTTCTTTCACCCTAGACTTTAAACGATCATCTTTCATTAGGTGTAAGAGGCTTGGAATTGGTTGTTGTTTTCATTTTAATCAGCTCTGCTGCTTTTCTGGAAATATTTGCACATGGGCAGGGAGAGGTGGGGAGGGGAGAAAGCCATCATTCCAAGGTATTCAGATCCTTAGCACAAGAGGATATCATACAGTATTACCCTCCTGACACCAGGTTCATAACAGAAATGAAGGTAAACTATTTATTGTATTAAAAACATTTAATATTAGTAGGCATAAACATCAGTATAGAAACAAAACACTTTTTTGGGAGCCTTATGAACGTCCTGGAGAGATCTCGAACATATTTTTTGTTCAAGCTGTGCTAGTTCTTTGATTCATTAATAGGAAGACTGTAGCCATAATACTCCACCCAGCAATCTGACAAGTAAGGAACAATTTTGCACTCCGAATAAACTGTGAAATGTATTGGGAAATGAAAATTTTTGTTAATTGCTGTTGACGCTCTGAGCCTCCTGCAGATGAGCATTTGCCTGTTTAATGTAGTTGTGTGCTGACAGTAAAGAAGGCCATTGAGGCTATGTCTAGACTACAGAGTTTTTCCGGGATACCAAAACTCCGCCACATCCAGAGAATGCGTCTGTTCTTCCAACATTTTTTGTGGAAGAGCAGACACGCTCTTTCGGAAGTCCCATTGGAAAAAAACTAGTGTAGACATAGCCTGAAAGAGAGACGGAACTAGTTTTCACCAGCCTCACAGCAGAATAAATAGTCAATATTGTATGTAATTATTGAATACTAAAGGTCTTTTTATGATAATTAAATAAGCCTTACAGCCAAGGATTAACTTGTTTATGGCTGTAAGGCTCCTCTATTGTCAGTGTCATATGACAATTATACACCACTGGTCTGAGGAAATAGATACAGTTTCTTTTCAAAGGTGAATGTAAAAGTCCTTGCAAATGGATAGGACCAATGCCCGGCAGCCCTGAGTAGAAATTGGCAAAAAAAACCTGACAAACTCTTATACCAAAGTTCTATTTTATATTTGGCAAAAAATGCAGATTCAATGACTCCATGAATTTGTGTCATTTTCTCTGAATTATTTCAGTTTAAAAAAAAAAACCCTTACAATATGTTAAAATCCATGTTTCATTTTGACATTTTCTAAATGAAACATTTCCATTTTTAGATTAAAAAAGACTGTGCGTGGAAATTTCCTTTTGTTTTATTTAAAATCTTTTAAAAATGCTTAGTTGAAGTAAAAACAATAGAATGTTTTAAAACCCTGAAAGGTTTTTTCTTTTTAACTGTCTGATTCTGTGAAAATTTAACAAGAAATCTCCTCCACCACCATCACCACCCCCAGAATTGCAAGAGATCCAAAAATCCTATTGATTAGGTGCTTGCAAGTCCTAGGATTCTTTGCCTATAGAATTTATCTTGTATATAAAGTTCCCAACTATCTTTGAATAGTGAAAGTACCACTATTTCTCCTCTAGCTTTCATGTTGGGTAATTTTAAAGCCAACAATCAGTAGGTGTACAATGAGGTCCTGACTTTTTAATTAAGTTAATTAGTGATTTGTTACCTTTAAAAAGAGGCCAGAAAGAAGCCATCCATGTATGTTTGCATCCACTTCTACCTAATGTGTGATCCACATATATCTGACAGCACAGTTCTACCAGGCATGACACATGGAATGGAGGACAGATGGGAGACAGTCGCATGATGCACTTCTGATTCCACGACCCCTCCTACTCCTGTCTTCAGCCATGAGTTGTTTGAAAGTTGACTTGCGTCACATTCCATCTATGGGATTCAAGGAGAAATAAGGAGAGAGACAAGGGAGAACCAGGGCATTAGGGATGGAAAGGAGAAGGAAGAAGAGGAGGAGGAAATGCTATCTCTGATGTTACAATCCAACTAACCAGTGTCTTTCGCAGAGTCATATATTTTAAACTCCCTTTCTTCTTTATGAATTTGCTGAGATTCCTTCCGAGATTTGGTTCCCCCTACAAGACTTGGTTAAGGCATAACCATAATTGTACTCTACTCTTAGCACTGCACTGAGTGCCTAAAGCGTAAGTAGTCCTAACTTGTCAGATAAGTAAAAGGAGGAAAAAAGTTTCGAATTCAGCACTTTGCTTTAAAATGTCAATGCATTCATAGCTCTCGTGTCTACAAGTAGAGGGAATAATCCTGCAGGAAGAATTCTGAAGAGAAAGAACTGCAGGGTCAAGTTCATATTCTGTGAGGGCGAAATTCATTTATTAAGCTCACATGAGGTCTGTGTGTGTAAAGCTGATGGACCCAGGTCATTGGCAGATGGGATTGAACATGGGACCTTAGGAGCTACAGCCATGTATGTGACTCTACTGTATGATCTAAAAGCTAGCTGTCCCTAAGCTAAGGTTGTAAAGCAGATGTCAGTCACCTTTCTGGTTGCCTCCGGTTACATATACAACACTTAAGCACTGGGAATGTGGGAAGGTGTGATCCACAGCTATTGAAATCAATGAAGAGACTCTGATTTAAATGGGCTTTGAACGAGACCCTAGAATATTTGAATGGTACTTAAGTAGTGCACTGACTTTGTGGTGGCCCTCTGCACAGATATGAATTTCATGCTCACTGATATGAGAGGTTTTAAACACGGTGAGTAGGATTAAGCCCCAAAGCTTTTCTATTCACCTGTAAGATTGACATGGAGGGCTATTGTTCATACCTAACTGTGCTAACTTCTACATTCCCACATTCCTGACAAGTGATCTTTTAAGAAAGAGTTCACTGAGAGTGGAATTCAGAGTTTATTTGATCCAGTGATATATCTGGGGAAAAAATACAGTCCTGTCCATTCACTCAGTGAAAAACCTAGGGTGGAGACCACTGAACATATCTGCTTTACTGGCTGTACAAAAGAAGGTATTTTTTTCAGACAAAGGTGTTTTGTGTATTGTTGTTTCTACTTTTGCTAGTGAGCTATTATGGGTGATGGAGGATTTAATAGTCAAAGAAAAAACAAGGCAGCTTAACTCTGAATTTTATATTTCTGAACATTTTTTATGCATATTGTACTTTCCAGTTGGGCTCTAGCAGGTGTACTTAATTTCTAACTACAGGAAATAGACGATTGTAATAGAAATGTACATAAATACGTGCAGTCTGATAAATGCTTGTATAACTTATATGTACAAATTGTTTTTCAGAGTCTGTTATATTCATGTAAAGTACAATATTGACATATTTTTCTAAGGGAACATCATGTTCTGGCTTCTTCATTCATTGATTCATTCCACTTCAGGGACTCAGTTCAGGATCTTGGTTTTCTAGTCATGTGATAAAAACCTTGCATTCTGGTGTGAACCAAAGTAGCTTGAGTGATGTCAGTGAATTTACAACAGTTTTCATCAGCTGAGACTCTGGCTTGCAGATCTATTTAATTCAATCTTAGCTTCCATTGGGGCTATGCAGAAAAGACTGAAGGCTAGAGCTGGTCAGACAATTATCATCAAAACAATGGGAACAGTTATGTTCATCGAAATGTAAATGGTTTAACAAATGTATGGTTTGATGCAATTCCATCCAAACATCAAAAGCAAATGGAAGCATTTTGATAAGGTTGAAACATCCCATTTAGACACTGGCAGGATGGAAGGTTTTGACTTTTTTTTTAAATTTCAAAATGACTTTTTTTCACAACCAAATTAATTACAGGTTTCTTAATCTAAAAAATAAAAAGTTTAAAGGTCAACATTAGAACCAAATGTTTCCATTTCAGTTGGCCTGAAACAAACAAACAAACAAAAATTTAAAAAAAAAAGAATTTTGTTCTGTAGGAAACTTAGTTTAGTTTTTATATTCCATTTTGGAATTGAAAAAGATACTGCAATAGTGGAATTTGCTGTGAATCAGAAAAGCCAGCACCCATCCAGGTCTACTTCATGTGCATATTGTCTCCAGAAGTGTCTTCACATTCCACAGATGCCACAGACATTATCACCTTGGTAGCATCACCAAGGCCTGCATAGAAAGCAGCAATGGGTTCAAGCCAGAGTCTTATGTACAAAGATCCTCAAGTGGCCCTTGCAAACAGGATAGAAGGGCCGCAGTTGATAATTGACCCACTAGGCTAGAATAGTTGCAGCAGTGTTAGAGGGGCTAGGTTTTATGTTGAGGTTTGAGGGGGGAAATTTCACTTCTTCAGTGGCCCTTCCTTCACCTTCATATAGTCTGATTAGCAAGGCATTAAACACAGGTGCAATGAATTTCATTTCTGTTTTATACATAGCATTAAACTCTCCATGACAATGATGTTGAGAAGTTCTGTGACCAGAGCAATAGCAATTTCTTGGCATAGACCAAGCTAGCCTTTAGAAATGTTTATTATTCCAACACATTTCACAAAAACAGCTCTTTTTCCTCCTCCAGGGACCTGCGTAATATGCATACCTGAGTGTCAAAAACCTGGACGGGAGAACTGGGTTTATGGGTTTAAAAAGTAGTTTCAAGGAAGACAAAATCTACATCAAGAACTTTAGTAGGCCTTTGTCCTCTGAAACCCCAACCCCTTGTATAACTAACTCATTTCACTTGATGTTGGCCCTGGCAGAAATAGTTGTACAGCTGGTTTGTTTGAAAAACTAAATCAAGCAGAAAGGTTCTTGTTGTTCTTCTTTATTAGGTACAGAAGCTAAACACAAAGTCAAAAAACCATGGCATGGAATGCTGAGACTGTTTTTTCATTTGGTCCATTTAAATGCCTAAGAAATATGTTTCAGTTAAAAAAATGTAGCACAATTGTGAGAATTTGGCTTGCTCCACCTTATTACAGTTAGCAGCAACGTTGCCTTAATTAAAGATTTGCCAGAATTTCCATTGCAAACCCCACATTTTTATGTGTTTATAACTTGGCAATAAAACTTTGCTCTGGGATGGAACTTCATTCTGGGATGCAAAAATCTCAGCTAATTCCTATTTTACTTTTCCCCTCTCACAAATTTTAACAAAAACCAATGTTTGGCTCTTTTCAATTATATACATTCTAAAAACTAATGCAATAAAGATGTCCTAGTTTTGAGTGCTTTGCATTTTTCTAACTCAAATATGTCTTCAAGATACAGGCAAGCCTATAGGGATGGCTGTCACTGATTCATATAGAAATTTGTATGCATATGGAACAGCAATTGACTCCAACCCAACTATAGTTTAGGGACAAATTTTCATGGGAAGGAGCCCAGAAGATTCCCACCCTTCTAGTGGATTGTATAGATGCAGCCTGTTTGCTGCTCTTTGGGTCCAATCCTAACCACCACATTGAAATCAATGGCAGTTTTGCTACTAACTACAATTGCAGCAGCACCTGGGACTTTTGCATCATGGTGCGGGAGGGCCACAGCAGCCCATTCACAATCAGGGTGAAGAAGCAGAGGCAAAGCCTCTGAAGAAACTGATGATCTAAGGCAAGTGCTGAGGGGAGCTCATATTGCACCTACCAAAAAAAAGAAAAGAAAAGAAACATGCAGCCACATTCTCATGTCTCTATCCAGGCCAAAAAAAAAAAAAAAATCTCTTAACGGTCCTGAGTTCATATCCACTACCACATATACAGTGCTGTCCTCTGAGGCTACATCTATACTACAAGTTTTCTCAGCAAAAAATATGCTAATGAGGGACTCATTTGCATAAATTGCAATCTCATTTGCATATTTTCTGCTGGTCCATTTTTGTGCTGGGGTTTTTGCGGATGTAGATTAGGGACTGAAGTTTGCCCAAAACATGAATGTTCTCTCTCATTAAGAGTTGAAAGGGGTAAAAAGATGCTCTCTGTTACAGGGCACAGATATATTATACTTTGATGGATGGCTGCATTCGGTTACACTGGGCAACCTCAGTGGTGTCAGAGGGTGTAAGCTGAGTGATACAGACACCACTGCCCATGCTTACAGAAAAGGTAGGTGAGGTAATAGCTTTTATTGGACTGACTTTTGCTGGTGGAAGGTATGGGTTTTGAGCTGCACAAAACTCTTCTTGGGGAAGAAGCACAGTGTCCGAGTTAACTCTAGACTACAAAGTTCTATTGGATAAAGATACGCAAATTGCAAACCGCAATTTGCGTCTCTTTTTCCATTTTTCTTCCAAAAGAGGCTTTTCCTACAATTGGTCCATCTACACTGGGCCAAATGTCAGGAAAAAAAGCCTCTTTCTGAATATCCCTTCTTCCTCGTAGAACGAGGTTTACAGGGATACCGAAAAAAATGCATCTGCTTTTCTGAAACTTTTTTCAGAAAAGCAGATAAGTTCCTTGGACATGGCAGAACTTTTCTGAGATACCTCCAGTATCCCGGAAAAACTCTGCAGTCTGGATGTACCCTAAATGGAAGTTGGGGTAGAAAAGTGATAAAGGATAAAGATACTTTTCACAAAGCAATCACTCCATTTATGATTCTTCATACTTCTCAAGGGAAGCCAGTATCACACCTTTAAAGGGCTTGCCTGGGAACTTACATTCCTAACTCGGTTGGACATCAAAAGCCATGAACTTAACAGAAATGCTGGTTTTATGGCCTATTGCACTTTATAACAGAGTATATTGCCTGCTTCCTTTAACTGCCCACTTTCCCCCTGTAGGCCTAACAATCTAATCCTCAATTGCTCACTTCATTTCAAGTGGCCACCTCAAGCTGGCCCGAGGTGTATTTATCTCATGCAATGGCTATGCTAGAGAGCTCCAGCAGCAGAGCTGCACTGATGCACCAGTGCCTCTGTAAGCTCTCTGTGTAGCCATTCTAAGCCAATGGGAGAGAGCTCTCATGTCAGCTTCACTATTCCAGCCCCATCAGCAGAGGAAGTTATGTTGGCAGGAGAAACTATTCACACCAGCGCTATCTCCCACTAGCCACACCAGTGCTTAAATGGGCATAAGTTCCATTGCTCAAAGGGAGGGTGGCTAATTCACACCCCTGAATGATATAAATTATGTTAATTAGTAGGGCTAGCTTAGTGGTTTGTGCATTGGCCTGCTAAACCCAGGCTCGGGAGTTCAATCCTTGAGGGGGCCATTTAGGGGTCTGAGGCAAATCTGTCAGGGATGGTATGTGGTCCTATTATGAGGGCAGGGGATTGGACTTGATCACCTCTCAAGGTCCCTTCCAGTTTTACGCAATAGGTGTATATCTCCCTTTAAGTTAATATAAGCTATAGTCTAGATGGAGCTTCAGATACTCTGCTTCCTTCTTCAGGCTTGAAAAAGAGCTCTGTATAGCTCTTCCAACAGCAGAAGTTGGTCCAATAAAAGATATTACCTCACCTATTTTGTCTCTCCCATATCCTGCAAGCATATGCTTTTTGTGAACTGCTCTGCATATTTCTGCTCCTTGTCTTCTTTTCATCTGTGCTCTTTCATCTGTGCATCAGCCAGAACTCATACATCTTTTCATGGGAATCATTTCTTCTCAACAGCCAGAATTTCCACATTTTATTGCCTAATGCTAATTCCACTTGTGCGCTACTGTCTGATGTATAGAGTATAAATTCGTTGGAGATTTATTTTAACCCTACCAGATAATATTGTCCAAACAAGGTTTTCACACTAATAGTTTAACAAATTACATTACATAGAACCTCAGAATATTGAAAACCAGAGTTACAAACTGAACAGTTCAACAGGCAATTTGGAGCTGGATTTACTCTCAATGAGACAGCAGCTGAAACAAAAACAAACAGCAAGTTCAGTTCTGTGTTAAGTGTAAACTATTTTAAAAAGGGAAAGTATTTTTAAAAAGATTTGGCAAGAGAAGAAAACTATTTTTGTGCTTGTTTTGTTTAAATTAAAATGGTTAAAAGCAGCATACTTCTTCACAGTAAAATTTCAAAACTACATGAAGTCAAAGTTCAGTTGTTAACTTTTGAAAGAACAACCATAGGAGTTGTTCAGAGTTACAAACATTTCAGTATTGCGAACTACCTCCATTCCCAAAAGTTCTACTGTATATAAAATAGAGATGCACATATTCAACAAACGTAGGGAAAAAGTATTGAGCAAATAGTCCAAAACCTTTTAGAAATAAAATAAATGATGGCTTCTATCTCCTTGTAACTGACTTTTTTTTAATTAAACCAGCAAATGTGCCTAGGAATTTGGAAGTAATTTACACTACAGGGTACAAGCCACAAATATCCTATAAAAACTCTAGCTAGTATATACATATGTATGTACTCTTAATTATATAATGCATAGCTAAGAGGACAGCCAACATACACACAGCACAAGTTGGAAGTGGGGGGAGAGATCAGGATGTGCTGATGGTGTAAAATTTACCTTTGCACAACTCCAACGCTGGGCCTTGGGTGCACAGCTGAATCCCTGTTAGAACACCCAGCTGGCATGCTGGTGTCCTCTCCTCGGCAGGAGTTATGCTAATGTCTCCCAGTCCCTTAGTGGTCACTTAGCTATATTCACTCCTTCTCAGGGGATCATGCTGTGGAGATCAGCCAGTCTACCAGTCTCACTACTTCCCCCTACCCTGTAACCTTGAAGAAACCACAGAAAACCAGGCTAGAGAGCTTTGTAAGCAGAAGCTTTGTTTATAGATGAAGAACCTGCAGGATTCCTGAGACATTTCCACACAGGAGGCACTCTGCCCCTTCCAACGCCTACCACCAAGAAAAAAGCCCCCTAAGGTAATGCTGCAAGGGGCTAAAAGCTTGGTGACACTATAAAGTAATCTCTCAATGCTATGGCTGTCTCATGCTAGAAATGCTTACTGCCACCATCACATAAGGCTGCATTTTTGTGGGAAAGGCTGCTTTAGGATCAAATTGGGGTTCCATGTGAAAAAACGGTGAGTTCAATACTTTCTGAGTTACACAGAGGTCATTCCCATTGGCTTCAGTGGTAGACTCTGGCTCTGCCTGTTTTAAATATTCTGAAATTAGCACCTAAATAACTGGCATAGATATCTGATTAACAAGTCATGCCTTCATATTTCAAACAGGACTAAAATATAGTGATACTGTGATATGCATGTAAAATGCTTGCAGCAACAAGATTATTTTTATACTTCTCGCTCCTTTACTTTATTACACTGTAGTAATATCTTGCCTGCCACCAGAATATCCATATAAGTGATGCCTTCATATATAAAGGGACCAATATTTGTTTTATCTTGAACATTTTGCAGAACAACTTCTTTTTACAACCTCAAAACCCCTAATGAAGGTCCAGACCATGCCATGATCTCTGAGCACATGGACCCGACCTCCCATGTAAAACCCCATAAATTATACTTCCTGGTACTTGTATTATCTCTCTTTACCTGCCAGATTACACCTGTGTATGTAATATGAAATTTATACCTTTATAGATAGTGGAACAAGGCTAATGCCCAATTAAGTTCTACATATGCCCTATTTTGAGGGTGAAAGTGGCATGTAAGTGGATCCATAGGCCTTTGTGGTGATCATCTGCACAGGGATGAACTTCACCCGTGGTGGGTGTTTGGTTTTTTTAACTAATGGTCACTTCACGGGCAAATAACGTACGATGCATGGTTCTGCCACAAAGTCAGAAAAGCAAGGGTTTGTTGGTGTTTTGAAAGAGGGACAGTCTAATTCCAGTGAATGTAAGAAATATTATGAAATTGTGACTATTCTGGATTAGAGAAGCAGCTGTCAAGCCAGACCATCTCAGGGGGAAAAAAGACAGGGAACAATCTGTCATGAGGTTAGCAGTATAAAATGGAAGACCGCCCAGCTTTGGGTGTTGCATGGGAAGATTTAGCTGGCTAATGCCAGTAATATACATAAAGTCATCAAAGAAAACATTCTACTTATTGAATTCTATTATTAAAAGGGCTTTTTAAGAATATGAGCTCATATATTCTGTTAGAGTATACAGGAAGCTTTCAGACACAGGTTTCTACTTATGTATTTATGGTAGTTCTCAGGATTAACTAGCCATCAAGTTGTGTGAGGAGTTGTTCTGGAATATTCTGTGGTTACAGACTGACTACAGGACTTAACATTTACATGCCTGATATAAATTAGTATGCCCAACACAGTCATACATATATATTATATGGCCCATACGCTAGCATTCACTTCCACAATTGGGGAGGAGGGACACAGTTTATTCCTCCATTTTAATATACCTCCCTGATGGAGCCCTTCTGTGAGAGTTCCATGGACGTCCAGGATTTACAATGGTGGAGGAAGGTAAGTAATGCCTGCAGAGCTGCCATAAACCCAGTTGGCCCATCCTCTCCACCCCCAGATGGAGGAAGATGCAAGAAATCCTGATAAGGTAACCACACTCTGTTGCCTATCCCCCTGCAAAAGTAGCCTACCAAAGGGACAAAGTTGGACCAAATTTTCTTTATAAAGAACTATTTTAAACAGAGGGCTCTGGCGTTCAGCCATAATATTTGTTTATATGGCAATATTTACAACTCAGAAACTTTCAGGGCATAAACTAGATTGGCACTTGAGTTACTAACAATGATTTAAAGCAGAACACAGCATTTACATTTTTAAAAAAGTTTCAGCCCATATGCATTTTGTGATTATTACACATAACCTTTGTCAGATGAGTACCTCAGTGTAACTTATTGTCATGGCAAATTAGCAATAGACATTCACAAGTCAAGAACATGATCAAATACGATTTTCACAAAAAGTGGGTGTCTAGATACCCTAACTAGGTTTTCTGAATAGATTTTTGAACTTCCGGTTTGTTAAATTTTAAGAGGCTCATAAAGGAAAATATTACATAACTGAGTTTTATCGCAATATGGCCAAAGTACATCATTTGTACAATGAAATAGCTTGAAAGAGTGGCACAAATGTCTTTATTGGTAAGGCTGATGGTCAATACGTTATAAAAGCATTATTTATGTCTAACATTAATGCAGATACATTTCTAATGAAATTGTATTTGATTTATTGTAAAACAGGAAATCCATGGCTCTGTTTTCATTTATTAGTTGCTGGGTTTTTATACCATAAAAAAAATGATGATTTTCTATATTAGGAAATGTGTATTTCTGAATGTCACTGTGTTGTTCCGTTGTGTTGTGCAGTGTATATAAATAAGTAAATTTAGTTGAAGCTTGGTGTAAATAATTCACCAATAGGTTA